GAACGCGAAGTACAGAATGGCATTACTTATAGTGTAAATTGCTATTCATGATCTAATCACTGCGTGTTTAGATATCTCAATAGAGACTACTGGCAACAGCGAAAGGCGGGAGCTTCTGCGAAGGTCTCTTTTTGTTGTTTTTCTCTTTGTTATGGAAAAAAAGGATTTTATTTTCATGAAAATCACACTTTCGGAAACGTTTTTGATTTATCTACAACAAGAATAAAGTTAGAGAGCCGAGTTATGGTTCATTTATAGGTTGAGGAATGGGCAGGCGCATCGGCCTCTGCTCCACTACCAAGTGAGACGTCTATAACACCAACGAATACTATTGTTGCTCCCGTTCAAACTGAGATGGCCCAGTTGTCATTGGGAAAGACGTTAGCTGTCAACGACGATATGAAATCCCAGACTGAAGGAACACTGAAGTGGTGTCAGCAACTGAAGGAACAGGTACTGACAGATGAAGTGACATTTTCTCCGTGTTATTAGCAAATAATAGTGTCCTCCCCTTTCCTTTTTTGTTTGATAGCTGCTTCTCTTCTACATGTTGAGTTTTTATGGCGGGTTGTTTCCATGCATTATTTGATGTTGAGGGATTTTGCAGGTAACCGTTATGGAAAATCGAATCCGTTCAAATAATGCAAGAGGGCGATCTGTTCTGAATGATACAGCTATACAAGGGTTGTTCTCAACGTTGACTGAGTTCCATTCACAAGTTTTGGGTGCCTTAACCAAGCTGGATGAGGAAAGAAGTACGTTGTCCCTACAATTTGTGATACTTGTTTTCAAAAAGTAAGTTTCAGCTTACTACGAATCCCTGCAAGACCATCTGGGTCACATAAGTGAAGCTCGTTTGGCGATAGATGAGTTACGCGCGGAACATGGTCGTAGACAACAGGAAAGGCTGGCGGAAGAGCAGAGACAGCGGCAAGCGCAGATGAAGCAAACGCTAGAAATGATGCGTATGAAGAAGCACGTAAGTTCCAGTGATCATTTTTTTCAGCATAAAGTAATTTACGCTTTACCGCTCAGGTAATGCTAATGGAGCAGCGCAATGTTGCTTTGCAACGATTCCAGCATCAAGAAATGCAAGCAAGGACGGGGGCAGGTATGTTAGAGCTGCTTTTTTTACTCTACACTTTTTTGTTCATATCCTGTCGTTCAGATGAGTCAAGGAGCGTATTACCCTAACTACGGACCACAACAACCTGCACCACCTCAGAGTGGATATCCAGGTGAAACCATGTTTCTGAGTGTACTGTTCAGAATGACCATGCAATATTTTCGTTCCAGCTTCCTATGGAATGCCCGCGTACCAGGGTTATGCTCAACAGCAGTTCCCTCAGTCTCACGCTGGGTATCAGCAGTACCCTAACGCTGCGATCCCGACTGCAAACCAATGGCCCGATCCGACGATGCAAGCTCAACAAAGTGGGCGGATTATAATCTTATTTCTTAATTCTTCTTTTCTCTTTATTTCTTATCTTATCTGACCCAATCTTGAAGTTTCAGCATCTTACTCACCTACTGTTGCTCATGCACAGCAACAACCATCCCTCACGAATGGCTCCGTGCAAGTACCTCAACAGGCACAAACTCACCCTCAACAAGCCTACTACGCACCCGTTCCAGCAGCTGCTCCGCCATCATATCAGCAGGTAATAGCGACTGGTTTTGTGAATAGGCAGATTTCTTTTATCTCAAGGTTCTCGGCTTGGCTACAAATTTAAACACTAGTCACGCCAATTTTTCTTATGTTTTTAATCGCTCCTCATGGTGAGCAGCTCCTCTCAATGTATCACTTTCCCAAGGCCTGGTTACATGAAGCCAAAACGATATTTACGGAATTAACTTTTTTACAGCAGGAACATGTCATGTTGTCTGAATTACTATCGTTTATTGAATTCGGAATATTTTATAATTCTTTCTCTCAGCAACCGCTAGATGCAGCACAACAGCAACAACCACCTCCTCAAAATACTGCTCCTGTGCCATATGTGAATTCCGCACCCCAGCAACAACAACAACAACTACATATGCAACAGTATCCAATGACTCATCAAGGCGGATACCAACTGCAACATCCTGTGAACGGTGGCTAGTTACTGTCAGACATTGTCGTCTCAATGTGGTGTGCAATGAATTCTGAGTGGTTTTCAGGTACTGAAACAACAGCTCCTGCTCAACAGGAGATTGCAGAGCAGCCTCTCATCTCCTTTGATTGATCATTGCAAACAGAATGCTGAGATATGTTTTGTGATATATTGAATGCGGCTCGATGCAAAATTGTTACTTAACATGTCATTAATTACATTTTTTCTTTGCCGGTGGCGGTAGTATTCTTCATGAAATTCCATCCTTTGACTAGTTTCAGCCCATTCAAGTCATACTCGTGTAGATGCAAAAAATGTGTTTCAACAAGTGATCGCTTGGAATTTATTCTACTGTATATGAATTACAATGAAAGAAAATAAATTATTATCAAGAACTTGTTGTTTTTCCATGGCATGCTTATCAAAGGGCTTATATACATTATGAGGAGGGTGTAGTACATTAATCTGTTAGTATAGGCCGATGGGTGGCAGTTCTTCCACTCCAGTTCTATCAAAGGAATCTCAAGCCATACAAGATGAGGTGCTTTATTCAACACTTTTTAAGTGATTTGAAAGATGCTTGGGGCGTGATATGTGAATCGAGCCACAATCGTTTGGAAAGTCTTTTTGCGGTTTTTTTCTCTACTCAAATGATAAAACAGAATCCGGCGCTCATGTCCTTAGGGGGGACATTGAAATGATTGGGTCACTCATAGAACTCGCGAACAAGCCATAGGGAGGGGAAAGGACTCTTGTGGAGGGTGTGAGAACCATCAATATGTGGGCTACTGGTGTTTGTTTCAATCTCGGTCGGTTTAGTAGCATCATTGCCAAGCGGTTTTTGAATACCCTATTCTGGTTGTCCCCCCTTAGGGCATGAGCGCCCAGAATCCATCTTCTAGTTTCGAGTGTGAACTCGTTCTCAATTCGAAGCCGTTTTTTGGTGTTTTTTTTTAAAGTTTTCTATTAGTTAATAGGCAATTCTTGCCTTAACTGTAGCCCTCTTAACGTTCAAGTGCTTTTGCTACGTGATAGATTTCCTGTGATTGTGCACACCTTTGAGTGTAATGAAATAATAAATAAATAAATAAATAAATAATAAATAAATAAATAAATAAATAAATAAATTCTAATGGATGTGAAATGCATGGCGCATGAATTGTTCGACGTCGAATGTTTCATCGTTTATCTGTTGCAGGTTAATAAGTATCCAGTGATAATGTACACGAAGGAACGTTGCCCGTACTGCGTATGGGCGAAGAAGGAACTGAACGATGATGGAATATTTTTTGTTGAACGAGTACCGGTATCATATTCTGTTGAATCATGTAGTTTTAATCAGTGTCCTTCATGAGGTTCGAGAACATTAGCTTAGAAAGTTGTTTGCAGAATTTTAGCGATGAAGCGTCGGTCAAAGCTACCAAGCAAGGATTGGCGGATCTAACACATTGCAACACAGTGCCGCAGATTTTCGTCTGTGGAAGGTATTTATGAACAGCCATTGGCGCTATCGCAATTTACGGGGGCTTTGTGATGACAATGCATTTGAAACCGCGAAAAAAAAACATTGGAATTCTGTTCAAAAAGAAGCGCTCATTCCCTTGGGGGGGGGAGGGGGCGACGGACTTTTGGCTCCTCCGGTCTGGGCACGCGGCATAATTTGGCGCGATCGGACGCTTCGAGGAATCAACACGTCAAAGCGTGGGGCATAAAATCTTGCAGGGTTCTGAGTTGAAGTACGTTCTGAACGCTTGGAAGTGAGGAGTGGGCACTGAGTTGTAACGTAGCGGAAAGATTGAGAAGGGAACTGATTTGTGCTGTTCGGCAATGGGCGCCTCATGTGTTGGGGATGATTCTATTGGGGGGGGGGGGGGGGAGGGGAGTGAGCCAATTACTGTGTTTGGAACCGAGCCTTAGGAGGAGAAGGGATTCTGGGGTAATTTGTGTTCTCTCTGGCGTTCCTCCCCTCTGCTGGGAGTTCGTTTCGAATGTTTCTCCTTGGGACATGAACGCCTCGATCAGCAGAACATATATAGTTGACATTAAATACCTCAACAAAAACTCCAAATTTATTGACTCTTGTTTGCTTTGATGGTAGTAGTGGCATTTCCATGAAGGTCCCCACTCAATCCTTATGCCCGCTGAAACCGTCACTGCATTATGCTCTTCAATCTTCGCGAGGGAACTTTTTCAACAGCAGGAAAATCTGCACGGTAGTTTCATCTGCACACGATTTGACGTGTTGAATTGTAGTCGAAGCACCCGCGGAGCCTTGTCTCGTCCAAATCGCCGCGCGTGCCGCCGCGCAACTTGCCGCGTGCCAGTCCGGACGAGCCAAAAGTCCCGCACCCGGGGGAGGGGGACTTCAACTGAGGAAGCGCAAAACCTTGGGACCGGGTCATAACAGTCGAGAGAATTCTCGACCACGCTCATCTGCGGCAAGTGAGTTGCAATATGTATGTACACTCTGTATCGGAGGACGGGAAGAAAATCGGCGGCACACAACACACCGTAAGTGACGGCGGCGATGAAAAAAATTGACAAGTTGACCACTGACGAGGACATCGATCGATCGCTGTTGTATTCTACTGATTATCTGAGATAATTATCTGATACTGATTATCTGATAATCAGTAGAATACAACAGCGATCGATCGATGTCCTCGTCAGTGGTCAATTGTCAATTTTTTTCATCGCCGCCGTCACTTACGGTGTGTTGTGTGCCGCCGATTTTCTTCCCGTCCTCCGATACAGAGTGTACGCGCGGAGACACAGACGGCTCGCGGGTGGCGAGAGTGAATATCCGCGCGCGAGAACGTAAAGGATCAGGCAAAAATCCTCGACGTGCCGTTGAGGGAATCCTCAAGCAATATTTACCCTGTTCTGGACCATGTAGCCACTAAGAGCGGGAGGGGATCCTGTGGCGAGCATGTAAAGCTATTTGATTTTCCTGGCGTTTCTCCCCTAAGCTGGGCTTAGTACTAAACCCCCCTACCATCAGCCGTGTTTTGAATCCCCCCAACCCCCCCCCCCCAATGACATAAGCGCAAAAATGGGATCAAGCCTTAGGCAGGGAGGAGACTTCCAAGGTGCGTGAGTCATTCCCATTCTCCCCGGAGCTTTTGCATCCTAGTGGGCTTGTCCTCGAGGGTGCCCCCGTATATTGCGATAGCGTCCAGTAGTTGATAGTAGTTTATTGTGAACGGCTCGTGTATGGATTTATATTACTGATTAGTGGCTCAGCCATGGAATAACGGTCACTAAGGGCATGATTGGGGGATCAACTCCAGTTTTGAATCACACGAGAGTCAACCAAAAATCTTGTTCTTTCTCTGAGATCGGGAAACAGCTGCTCAAAAATACCATTACGGTCTTGAATGGAAGCTGAAAATGGTGCGATACCTAAGTATAAGGGATGATCAGTATGCGAGCATTTCATCTATTTTGTCGGCAAAGGTAAACATGAGAACGGAGTTTCTTTCCTGGCACAGAGCCAAGTCGTTCTAGTTGCTAGATGGAATGGTTATGGATGGAAGCGCGGCCGGATGGATTTTTGTTTCTCACTCTCATTGATGTTCTTGTGCGCTACCGTGCCACTCTCTCCCTCGTGCTCAGCTTTAGCTATTCTCATGATAACTTCCTTACCAGTATACATGTGGCTGGTGGCTTGAACATCCGCAAATGTTTGTCCCGTTTCAAGTGAATGAGATATTCAGGAAATTCCTATTTGCACAAACGATGTCTGTTGGATTCAGCTGAAAACCGATGTTTCTTATCGCGCGCATTCCTGTAAAAATCAGTCAACAGTCGCCCTGCTTGCTCCCTGTTCGGTATTATGAGTAGATGTCGTCAGCAAAGTAGAAATGATGTAGTTGGCAAGCCGCACACAGTCCCTCCCAGACCTCCCCATTACGCTCGACGTATGGCATTTTTAGAGAGCTGCGCTGAAAGTTGGGGAGAAATGGTATCACTCTGTCAGACCTCCCCCCCTTAACCTCATTGTAGATAGAAACAAAGCACAGTGAGTTCTGGTCATAGGAGTTGCACTGCAAAAGAATCTTTAATATACTGAGGAACGTTGTCCTGATTGCCTTTGGCGGATCAATAACCACTTCTGACTTCACAGGCGGAGGCCTTCCGTCGTTTTCGATGACTTCGGACAGCGGGATCCTGCATTATATCTGTTCCAGTATTCGACTCGCAACGGCTTTTCATAAGTTTGGTAGCCGTGTGGATATGGACCTACAGTCTGAGCCGTTCTTGGAATACCTGTCCGTAGTGGTCGTTATGGCATGGCCTGATCCATGTTCTGTCATCCTGTGAGGATGGTCTGGTAGTCGCAGGAAAACAATAACAAAGTTTATCGGTTGCTGGCATGTAGCTCGTTGGACAGAGGCGAGACTACGAGTAGGCGGACCGCTTAGACTACGGAACCAAAAACAAGTGCTATGGTAATACTTTTTGTGATGTTCGTTGATTTGTTGATTTGGTTCTGTTAGTATACAAGATAAAAAGGATAAAGCATTTGCCGTTGATCAATCCCTTTTTGGGATGCGGCACGCATTCTACTTCCATTTGTACATTCGTAGTGGCGTTTGAATGCGATGTGGCCTATACAATGACTTGCGGGGGCCAGCCGATGTACAAGTCAGTGTTTTTTATCCTCCCAGACAAGTCTGGTACCAATTAACCGACCCCGGAGGGATGGAAGGCTTGGTTGGCCCGGGCGACTCACGACCCAGGATTTGATCCCGGACCGCTCGCGTGGTGAGCGCGCCACTTGTCACTGCACCACTTCCGCCCTTCGTTATACAATCGTATAACTAGTCGTTCCTAATACGAAGCAGTCTCGTCTAATGTTCGGGCACAACCCAAGAAAGATACGTATATTTCAAGAAAAGGGAAACCCGACGGCCGGTCGGGGGAGAATAACCTGGTTGTATTTGTTCTTGCATGCCACCGTCGAACGATGGCGTTCGCCTTCTGCATAATATTTTTAGGCACCGAGACAGCGTTGGATTGCAGAGCGAATGGGATTTTCTCATTTCTCCATCTTTCTATTATTACCACGATGGAATTCGGGGTTCATAGCCGTAAGGTTATGGTAAAACAATAAAGAATAATTCTCTAAGTATTGGTAAACGCTTCCAGCGTCACCACGCAAAGGGCTTCCCATCTTGTGAGCCTTTGAAGCAACACACCGGATCGAATTTGTGGGGTCACAGCGGTCACAGTGGAGTTGTGGATGCCGTTGACAAAAAATAAAATAAGAAGCAGAAAAGCGTCGATGTAGCCCTTAACAAAGACCACTCATGAAATAAGGAAGGGCAGGGCCACACGATTTGTTCGAAGTTGCCTGCTCCACGTCTTAACTGACCCCCGCTGCGTCATGGGTCGCGATGTAACTCGTCATGCTGACGCGATGTAACTCGTCCAAATGCTGGCTTGTAAGATTCTAGCGACATTGCCGAGCACTTTCGAGATGCGAAAAATTGCACATCTGTGATTTTGTGAGCTACTATATCCCACCCACAGAACGAATTCTTTGACACGACTTCAGCTGAGGGTTTCTTGAAGCGCTCACCAGTAGCTTTTGAACCCCTTGATCGAGCTTATGCAGATGGATTATTTGACTATCTGGATCTGTTTCATGTCCGTGGACAAGGCATAGTGAGAGCGATTCAGGGTAAACTTTGAGGCAGGGTTCATTTTCCGGCCTTATAAAAGTGTGTGATTTAGGTTCATCGGTGGGTACAATGAATTGCATACCTTGAGAGGCAATCTTCCGCGTATGATAGAACAGTGCTCATCGGATGGAAAGACGATCGACAAAAAGCATGGTGAATCTCCAAAATCAAAAATCTAGCTCCTTAATTATGAGATGTTCGAATTTACAACGATAAAGCTATTTATTAAATCTCATTGTGTTATACACCTTTATTTTTGCATGCATTCAAAATTTATTGTAAGAAACCCGTGCATAGTGTAAAAGGCTCAGAAGTTGTCAAGGGTGCATTTGGGAAAATTTTTGAAATTAGGAAGCTCCGAACATGTAATCAGTGCGATCGACTCTTAAGGAACAACATATTTCCTTCCCTTCACTTCAAACGGCGTTGCTTTTGGTAAGGACACCAAAAGTTATTGTCACTCACAGGCGAGTCAAGCAAAGTATAGAGTGATTACGGTCAGTGAGAAATCTTTAATCAGAAGTGTCTGAGATGTCTTCCGCTGATGCGACCAAGGCGAATGCTTCAGGTTGTCCCGGGAGATCGACGTAGTTAGCGGTGATGGGCGTGTCCATGGGGTTGCATTCCTGAAAGGTTTAATTTATTTTCTACCATCATCATAAAAATGGGCTGCTTCTTAATTCGCAAACGCTAAATTACGGTTCATCAAATGAGCTGGGGAATGAACATATTGAGGGTTGTGGATTAACACGTTGACGACATCGCATGTTTTGGCATTTTGCACCGCGTGGGACAGGAGCGATTTTGCGAGCGCGCCGTCCTCACCTTACTTCCGCTTATTTTTTGTTAAAAATGCACAATAACTTGAATTTCATAGGACTATTTCGGCAAGGATGAAAGCATAAAGGTTAACTATATAAGTAGCAGTAGGTTTTTGTTTAGAAGAACGCATAATGACCACGAAGAAGTAAAAAACATCACTTTCGCTGCGAATGAAGTTAAAAGCATTTATATCTAAGTTCTTCCATCAAATACAAATATCTTGAAACTCACAGAGTTTTGTATTAACTGCTTCTACAATCTTTCATATGAATGTTACGACAGTGAAAGGAATACTAGGAAAGAATTGAAATGAAAGTTTTGTGCGTTCAGAAAATCTTTGCTAAATCAAGGGATATTTGACCACTCTGGCTGCCATGTGGTTTATAGTTATGCTAATGTATTATCTATAGAATGAATACAAAAACTCGAGAAGAAGGAGCGCAAGCACGATAAAAATGAATAACATAGACTTGACGCGCTTGCGCGTCAGAATGTCCGATGCGGTGCGAAATTCTTGACGCGCATGCGCGTCAGCTTGTCGTCAACGTGTTAATGGAGAGACTAGCCACCACCTTTTTGGCGAATTCGCTCGACGCGTGCACTTGAAGCACACCCCTAAATCAAATTGTGGAGCCGCAGTGGTTGATAATGGAGCTGTAGATTCCCAGTGGTTGATAATGGAGCTGTAGAGTCCAAGTTGAGAGAAAATGAAGAACCCCTGATGTAGCTGTTTTCAAGCACTTCCTCTTCCTCCTCAAAATAAGTAAGGCGAGGCCGGACGAGTTTTCTGGACTTGCTTGCTCAATGGCTCCACTGACCTGCACGTATTTGAATTAGCCGCTACGCCGTTATTCACGCGGCGGACGCGATATCTCGTCCATAAGTTAAGATAGTCGCCATAAGTCCATGTTGCAAAGCCTTAGTGCCATTGTTGCGCATTTTGAGCGCATCTATGATACTTGTGGGCTACACTTTCCCATCCACTAAATAGATTCTCCTACACAATTTTTGTTGGGGTTGTTGCTTTGATACATGTAAGCACATACTTGGAAGGGAAGGCTTTCAACCACCCGTGGAAATAGTTTGGAGAATTGGCCAACTTATTGCAGTCAAAAATGCTCCAGGCTTCCATCAATTTGAGATTTTGACCTAATTTCGAGAAGGAGCAGTCAATAGAGCCAGCCAGCGCACAAAGGCATGAATCGAAAACAACTCGTGAAAACACCTTCCGAAATGGGACCCCTTCCTTGCCCGTTGATTTGAGCATTGATGCGACTCTCATCGCTGTGCCCTCTTCAACACTACGCTCTCTCACCTATCTAATCACGTATAGACCTGCGGCGAGTGATCAGATGATCGGTGGGCGTGCACTGGCCCACCGCGCCAAGATTGAGCCTTAATAGGTCGCCGAGGTCAACTCCTTCGTGCCAATTGCGCTTCAGTCCGCACCCTTAGGAGGTCCGCGGGTGCGTGACTATTCAATCGTGGCGGTGGCTAGGTCGCCGCGCCAGCCGCCGCAGCCCGCGATGCGACGTCGGCCGTGGCTAGAATTCAGGGTTCTAGCATTGGGGAATGTAGGATTAGATGAAGTTTCCAGTCGTGAAACACGGTATATGATCACCTGCCCCTTAAATACAGGTTCCTTGTCCCTTGCCATTATTTACAAACTTATTCTGTCATACTGATGTTATGCCTTCCTCACCGTTCCACTGCGTCTTGGAACGTAATATTTTTCCGATTTAGCCAGATTATCGCTCTCTGATAACAATTCAGGCAGTTGATTAATAAAGAAGTCTCATTATGTTCAAAAGGACAACCTTTACATGGCACAAGCTCTGTACAGTGAGGCTTAAATAACTGCGGAGATCTTAAGGTGACTCTTGTTGGCTCACTGATGTCTGGAACTTTGGTCTTATCAGTTCTCTAACCCCACCAGCAACTTATGGACAAGGACCGTTAAGCCAAGGCCC